ATAGTCTGTGCTAAATATATCTATATGGTATATTAGTGCCTAACATACTAATATAATCTGGTATTCCCGAGGGACGGAAATAGTCTCGTCATTATGACGTCTGGCATACGGGTGATACGCCGATACACCACAACAAACAAAGCACAGTCTACTAGGATACTAAGATTTATAATAAATCGTCTTAGGTTACAGTGTGTGTAGGTAACTCAAAACACTACATTTACGTATTACGTATGTTGTGTTAGAGACGTTTCTAAGTTTCTTATATTATTATTTATAATTGCTAATAATAATATATCGATCGATATTACATCGTCAATTGTATATTTATTACTACTTACGAGTGTTAATTAATCTATTTTAATCATGTATTCAATCTTTAATTTTAAAAACAAAATAAAACAAAATACATCAACACGAAAAAATAATTTGGACGAGACTGCCGAAACTCATAGTGATGAATCAAAAGCAAAGAAAATATGTAACCATGAACTGAACGATGGACATAATGATGATGATGAAAACATTCAACTAAAAAATAATGTTTTAAATTTGAATATACCGTCTGTTGATTTGGGTGATATTGATTCGGGCCCAAAGCAACCTAAACTTCAAGTAAGTAAAAATTAAATAATAGTTAAGTGTAATAAAAATAAAACAAGAAATAACGCGATTCTTGATTAATACATAATGACTTATTAAATTGTTTTGACGTACCCAGTCTTATTTTATTTTATTAACTTATTTATTCTAGATATTTCCACTAACACAATTTGGACCTCAAAATAGAAGTTTTAATGCTAAACACTATAGTGAATTTGAATGGTTAGAATATAGTATATCTCGTGATGCTATTTTTTGTTTTAATTGCATTCATTTTGCAAAGAATTTAAAAAGTGACATTTTAATTACAACTGGATACAACAATTGGAGAAAAGTATGTTTTTTGTTTGGATATTTGTTTATATAAATTAAAAATAATTATTGTTTAGAAATCATAGGCATAAAGATAACATGTTCATCAAAAGTAAAATACCTAAGTTGATTAATAATTACTATGTACATGTATTTTTTTAATTTTATTTCATTATTTTAGTTGAATGAAAAATTGTTAAAACATTCAAAAACTGTTCAACATTTAACATCAACTGTTCAGTATAATAACTATAAAAGTTCAAAATTGACTGGTACTATAGTTACTCAATTAACAACTGCTAAAAAAAAAATGAAATTTTAAAGAATAGACAGTATATGAAAGTTCTTATAAATATAACCCTCTTTTGTGCTAAACAGGGACTTGCTCTAAGAGGTCATGATGAAAAGTCATCAACAGTTTCTAATACTGGTGGGAAGATATTTTTTTATTTTAGTACCACTACTACTACTTATAGTATAATAGTTTGTTAATCATAAATTATTTATCTACAGGAAATTTTAAAGAGCTTTGTACATTATTTGCGTTGAACGATAAAGAGTTTTCAGATTTTTTTAACAGAAAAATTAACTATACAAGTTGGATTATTCAAAATAGTATACTTGAAGTTTGTTCAAATATGACATTAAATACTATAATTAGCGAAATAAAAGACTGTGGAATGTACTTTATTATGTGTGATGAAGCAAGGTAATACTCTTATTACAATCTGTGTTATATTAATATATTTTGTGCTATTACTTAGAAATGGATATTAGGTAATATATTTTAATATAATTTTATTTTCATGAATTTTTTTCTATTAGATTTTATAAAAAAGAACAATTATCAATATGCATTAGATACATTATTCCTAACAGCTATAGTGTATGTGAACAATTTATTGGATTTTTTGATGTATCAAATGGGAGAGGAGCCGAACATATTTCTATTGAAATTTTCTCGGTTTTAAAAAAATTTGGCATTTCTGATATTCCTCTTGTGGCACAAACATACGATGGTGCAAACGTTATGTCAGAATCCACATCTGGTGTTCAAACTTGAATAAGAGACTCTTACCCTGAAGCAATTTTCATTCATTGTATGGCCCATAAATTGAATTTGGTTGTAACAAATACTTGTAGAACTATTAAGGTGCATAACAAATAATAATAAATACTTTAATAATATTAAATACATTTATGTACGTTACAATTTATAATATTATGTACCCATTCTTTTTTATAATGAATTTAATCATTTACTTTTACAGGAATCTAATACCTTTTTTAATACTCTAGAAGCAGTTTATGTGCATTTTTCACAGCCCAACAAAGATAAGCTATTACAAGATTTACAGAAATCCATGCAAATAAAATCGTTATCGATTTCTAGATTATGTGAAACGCAGTGGTCGTGTCGTCTTAAAAATTGTAAAGCAGTACATAATAATTTTAGTGTAATAGTAAATATTTTACAAAATGAAATAAATGAAGATAAGAACAAAGAAGTGGCTCAAGCAATTGGTAATAATTTAATATATTACAAGTGTTTTATATTAATATATGTGTACTATGTATACTTTAATACAGAAGTATAGTATAACTGTAATACATTTTGTTCAAAGGTCTTCTGCACATATTAAAAAAAATGTCATTCGTTTTATATTTGTTCATTTTTGAAGAAATCTTAGGAATAATAAATATATTGAGTAAAAAATTGCAAAAAGAAGAAGGTACAATAGGAAATGCTGTTATTGAAATTAGTGCTGTGATAAAAACAATTAAAAATGTGAGAAATGAAAAATCATTTGAAGTCTTATGGAGTAATGTGAAACAGTTTTTATTAAAACATAATATTGATGTTTCACAAAATACACCTGAACCATCTGGTTAGTAAAAAAAGTTATCAAATATAATATAATATTGTTTTAAACATAATTATACTTTAGAATATACTTGGTATTTATTGAATTATTATTTTGAAACTGTTTAGGTGTAATTACATCTAAAAGAAAACGAAAAGAATGTATTAAACTTAAATGTTTTCATGTTTCTGTTAGGAAATGACATATGTACTCAAGGTGTTAACATGAATAAAACAGAAAACAATAAACATTATTGGTGTTCTCATGCATATTATGCTGTATTGGATACAATTATAGGCCACTTTGAGTTAAGGTTTTCAAAAGAGAGTTTAGAGATTGCAAATTCAATTGACAATTTCATTAAATTAAATATGAATAAAAGCATGATGTTCATTGATCATTACCAAGTAAGTCAGTTAATAAATACATATAAATGGAATGTAATAATTGTTAAATACAATACACCTATAATTGTAAGTAATTATTAATTTATTTTATTAGGCATTATTTTCTATTGATAAAGAAGCATTACGTTGTGAAATGACTGTAGCACGCAACTGTGCCATACAGTTAAAACCAAATTTTGGTTTAGAAGAATTAAAAAAAAATTTTTCAAAAGAAGTCTATCCTAATATTCATTCTTTACTTAAAGTAGCCTTGATACTACCTATTAGTTCTGCATCGTGTGAACGATCTTTCTCAGCCATGCGTCATATCAAAAACTGGACTAAAACATCTATGACACAAGATCGTTTCGGTAATCTTTCTATATTGCACATCGAGAGAGATATTGTTAACAATCTTGACCTCGATATTATACTAGACGAATACTCTTAGAAAGACCGTCGTATAGATTTAATATTATAATAAAAATATGAATAAAATATATTATGTATCATGTAGAAAATATAATAATTTATAAATTGATATAATATATTATTATTAATAAAAAATGAAATCAAAATAATTACTTTTAAGTGACTTTTCATGCTGAATCCACACCAAGTATGACTTTTTTTTATTTCTGTTTTTAAAAACAATTTGTACTGTAGATCCAGAATTATGGTTTTTGTTTTTTTTTTAGTGGTACATATAGGCAAATAGTGGTGTTATCTCCCATCAAGTCACAAAAAAATCTGGAGCTTAAGCACCCCCTAGTTTAAATGTATAGTTGCGCCAATGATGGGTGCCAGGGAAACGTTTCCCTGGCATCTGAAATCACACCTAACGAACTATTCAACATTATTTTTGCGCCATTAATTGTACCAATTTGTACCACTCATTCCAGAATTTGTACCCAATATATTGCATAATATTGTTATTCCATAACTCATAAGCTACATTTCTAAATTCTTAAAAATAAAATACTGGAACAGAATAAAAACACGAAAAAAATAAAAGGAGGGAACGTTGGCTATGATTTGATAAGTGCCAGGTATATCTGAAAATGTTAAAAATGTTGGATTCTTTTTTCAGTTTATACTTAAGGGCTACCACTATGAGTTGCAAGGAGTTGTGAGAAGCAAATTAAATTAAAAGTTTGAAGGATGAACTTATTAGATAGTAGATATTATAACTAACTTAATAATATCTGTTTACGCTCTAATACATTATCAATGATTAATAATTGATATCAAAATATGTGGCATAAATAGATATATTCAACCTTACCTAACCTAACCTGATTAAATCGGTTAATGAATATTTAAAAATTTTATTACCATCAAAAACTGGTCATTGTTAATTGTTTTATTATACTGATATAATAGCCCCCTACATAGTTTTAGAGGAAATCGGATAAATAATTTTCAATTACGTGTTCCCAGTTTTGTGAGGGCAATAGATGATAATAAGTTCTTCCCTTAGTTCAACAAAGGATAACACATTTAATGTTTATTTGACTTAAAATTTAATATAATAAAGGTTCACCTTCTACTTTATTGATAATAACAATAACAAAATTACAAATAAAAATTCTCAATAGTTAAATAAAATACTAATAAAAATAGGTGGTATAAAAAAAATGTACAACACCGTGTACCTTGGTGATAATAATAATAAAAACCTCAATCTAAAAATTAACTAATTGTTTGACTTTTTTATAGGTACTATATAATACGCAGATAAATCTGTAACATTTAGAATTTTACGTTTTTAATATTTTTACAAATGTTGTATACCTACTATTCTTTCTCATACTCACAATTTTGTTTAGTTCACATTGTGAAAATTAAAAATTCAATATCATTTTTATATGATTCACTAATATGTTGTACTTTATCTCTAGTATCGTCGTAATGTTCCCATTTGTCATTAGATCTAAGCGTGCAGGCTGTATAATGTCCATTAGCTGTACGAAGTCCACCCTTTTGTCCACTATGAAAAAACAATTACTCCTCTCAACTTGTTTATTTTTTCGTCAACTGTAAACGTTTTTATAATATCTTTTAATTTACAATAATTGGGTTTCACATAATTCTGTAATATCATTTGTGATTGAGTTCCTTGTATATTTTCATAACTTTTTGAAGCTTCTAAATCTAAAAAATTAAAAGTTCATGTATGGTGTAAATATGTATATGAATTAGTGATACTTGATAACACACATAACAAACATTATACGTTTAAATAATTTACCAATTGGAACTAAATTTAGTTCAATTAAAATATGAGTTGTTGGTTTTATTATCACATCCTTTTGGTGTCCACAATAAATACAAATTTCTGTTACATTTTGTAGATAATTTTATATTTCGTTCTCTATTGAAATGTTTCCGTCTCGTACATTAATAGATATGTATATCTACATAAATATGTAGATGTTGTTTCTAAAACTTTATTGGAACAATAATTGTTCTGGCAATAACTAGTTCTTATGAAGGATTGCATATTTTTCAAAAGCTTTTTTGCCATTGATGCTACTGTCTCAATAGCATCTATGGATTTTAAACTACCAACTAATAATTTTACTTTGTTTTCAAAATTCTTCAGCATCAACTTTACTCGACTGCGATATATTTTAACTTCTTGCTTTTCTGAGATTAATTTCAGTATTATTTTAGCAGTTATGTTTGAATTTGAAATGCTCTTAACGTAATCTCGGAAAATACAACTATCATCAACAGATGTAGCTAAAACTGATAATATAGAATCTACAGAACATGTATTATTTAATACTATTTTCCCAACATTAGGTATTGAAACAAGTATATGCATTAAAGTGTTTCCATTTTTTCAGTAACATTATTGGGGTTATTGAACTTTTAAAATTGAAATCGATCAATTCAAAACCTGGTTGATTAACAAGGTAAGAACGCGATTTCGTAGATTTTAATTTGTTTTCTTGTGATCTTCTTTTTCTGTTCCAATTTTCAGTTGCACTGGATTCTGCTTGAATTGAACTTTGTTTATCACAGGTAAGACACAATCTTTTTTTCTCCACAGCCTTCTTCAGTACCTATTTGGGATTGAAATTGAACATCCAAATAAATGAACTAGTGTATTACAATTGAAACATTTATGAAGACCTGTAGGTAAATTATAGTGCACATCAAAAAAAAAAATAACCAATATAATATATATATATATATATTATAAATTGTATTAAATAATTGTTTTCAAATTTTAGTTATTTACCAATTACTTTTTCTTTTGCTTATACCTATTTTTACAAGTATAATAATAATAAATATATAATAATAATAATAAATTTTCAAGTAAAAATACTATGATAAAGTATATACAAATTATTATATTTCAGGTACATGTTTATATGTTAAATCGATTCTCCTCTCTTTTTTTTTCTGCAAATCTGTTGATTATTTCTTCGTTGAAGTTTGGAATGTTATTGATCATCCGTTTTTCGATCGATAACATTGCTAGTGCTGTAAGTCGATCTTCTGTCAATGAATTTCTCAAAAATGTTTTAATACGTATTAATGTAGAAAACGATCTTTCGGCTTCAGCTGTAGTCATTGGAATAGTTGAAATTATTTTTAAGAGTTTGTAGCTTTCAGAAAATATTAGTGTTAAATTATTTTCAATTATAAATTTCAATAAATAAACTAATGAATTAATATCACGGAAATCGGTTCTTTTGTAGAACAGTTGTAATTCAGTTTTAAGTTTAGTAACATCCAAAAAAAGGATATGCTTCAATAGTTTTATTAAAATGATCACTTGGAAAGTTATTTTCGTACATAGGAAATTTGGTAGATAAAAATAGGTGCGAAGCATTTAAGTGATTTTTATAATCAAACCGTTCTTTAACGTTGACAATAAAAATGTCACATACTTCTTTTGCGGTGATTTTTCTTGTTTCAATAGTATCATCATGTCTTCGTTTTTTCGTTAGATGATTTTGAGAGATTTCAAAGATGTTATCAATATTCTGTCTTTCTTTTAAAATATTTTCTTCGAACCGAAAAATTGCTTTTGAGAGTTCTACTGGATCCATAGTTTGTTTTTGTAGTTGATTATATAGAATATCAACATGGGGCATTAAAGAATGAAACACTCTTAACCAAAATATAAATCTATCATCAATTAATATCCGATGCAAAGCTCCAGCTTAATTTATTGCTATGGTTTGATTAAATGTTGATTCAATTTCTTTCATACATTCAATTAACGACTCTAGATTCTCAAACACAGTATTTACTATTCCATTTTTAAAATTCCATCTAGTATTAAGTGATCGAGGAACTCTGTGTTCAACAATTTTATCTAAAACCGTAACCCGCTGTGGGCTGTTGGAAAAAAAATTGGTTGTATCAGTTAAGTTTGAAAAAAAAATCTTATCTCACGATTTTGTAAAGTTGCTTGAATTAAAATTAAATTAAGCTGATGAGCATTGCAATGTATGGAATGTGCATTTTTATAGCTATTGTTTATTATTTTTTGTACACCATTGAGACATCCACTCATCACGTTTGCGCCGTCGTACCTCTGACAAATCAACATATCTGGTGACTCTAACACTTTTTCCAAATTGAATATTATGTATTCAGACAACGATTTCGCATCGTGTCCAGTAGGATTGAAAAATTAACAAAACTTTTCTACTGATGATCCATCCGATAGTAAATATCTAAATATTATTGACAATTGAAAGTGAACAGATACGTCAGTTGTTTCGTCAGCCATTACAGAAATATAATCTGCTTGTTTTATTTCATTTTTAATTCTTTGTTGACATACAGCTAAACAACATTCTAGTAAATCATTTTGGATTAATTTGGATAAACCTTTAAATACCGAAGAGTTCTCAATATGACATTTTAGTACCGAATCTAACTCTGAACTAAAGTTTATAAGACCTCAAAATATGCCGGGAATTTCTGAATTTGATTTTTCAACGTGACCTCGGAGTGCAAGCTCAAATGCTCCACAAAATTTAATACAATTTATGACTTTATTCAATATATAACGATTATGACTTATTTTTTTCATTGTATTGTTTGATATTCAACCGATACGCATTAGAAAGTTGTTCCTCTTCCTTTACTGCTGAGTGTTACGCTATACTCGAAGGTCTTCGTTTTATCTCAAACTTAGTTCCTAATAATTATCTAATCCCCACCGACTCTATGTCCTGTTTACAATCTCTTATATCCAATTCCTTTAATTCTAAACTTTCACCTCTAGTTTTTCAAATTAAATCATATTTATATTCTCTAAATCAGTCCAATCGCCTAATTCAACTTATATGGATCCCCGGACACGTCGGTATACATGGTAATGAAATGACCGATGGACTCGCCAAATCTACTTCTATTCTTCCTCCTCTTGCTAAATTACCTTGGACCGATTTTACCCCTTTACTACATTGTCACATTACCTGTCTTTGGTCCAACTACTGGAATAATTTGCCGGCTCACTTTGCTTCCAAATATAAATCTATTGCCCCCCCCCCCATCTCTAATAAAAAAACTTGGTTTTTTAATTTAGACCTACCGAGGTTTACCATAGTCCGTTTTAACCACCTTCGTGTGGGCCATTCGCTCCTCCCTGATCATGCATATAAACTTGGGTTAAATAATTCTCCCCTTTGTACACTACACTTAACCGAAAGCGTCTGTGACATTTCTCATTTATTATTTGACTGTCCTTCACTTTATACTAAACGTTTATCACTGTTCAATTACATAAAATCTTCTAATGTCTCACCTCATCTTCCTTCAATACTTAACACCCAATCTGAAATGGTCACTAAGCAAATAATTACTTTCTTATTGGAAGCTGGCTTTGCAATTTAAGTTATTTATACTTTTTTCTCACACTATTATCCAAGCACCCATATTGATACAATGTAATTTTTTTTTTTATATATACTTATAATTTTTGTCAATTGTCACCTTTTATTGTTTTTCTTATGTCTTATGTCTAACTGTGTCGAGCTGTCATAGTTTTTTACTAGAAGCTAATTAAAAAAAAAAAAAAATATAACGATTATGACTTATTTTTTCATTGTATTGTTTGATATTCAACCGATACGCACTAGAAAGTTGTTGTCTTATGTCTTGTTTTCCTAATAGTTTTAAATTTAATTGAGAATTTATGTGTGTCATTGATTTTTCGTGTGTTTTGATTTTAGAATTTAAATGAATTAAATCGTTTATTCCATTCTTTACCCAAGCGGCATCATTAGATTTTTGACCAAAAAGTAGACAGGGAAAACAATACAACAACCACAAATCCAGTCATGGGTTTTATATATATCATTTTTAAATTGTCTTACATAATCTCTCATTTTACATTTAGTTATTTGTTTAATATTTAAATCTGGAGTAGGCCTACCTGTATTTTTTATCTCCATCTTTTTCTCCAACGAGATTGATGATTAATTGTCACGATTAATGTTTTGAATTTCCGATAATGATCGACTAGCTAATATGATCAGCTGATAATCGGAGTATAACTAATGAATGAGAGTAAAAATAAACTATAATAACATAATAATGCCGATGCCGACGCGCAACGACGCGGCGACGTCGAAAATAATTCGCTGAAAACAATTTTATTGGTTACGTGCACACAAACAAATGTGCACACCAATTCCATTACAACGTGGGCTGCGTGTATCGACTTGCTTTAATTTTTACACGGTACAAATGTGCACAACTGCACTACTATAATAGTACACGCCGATACCGTTCCGTCGCAGACAGCCGGACGGCCGTTTAGCAGTCGAAATAGCCCAATCCAACTATTAAATATAATATTATAATATCATTATTTTCATAATATTCTGAGTTTATATTTTTACATTTTGAAAATAATCCTTATTACATCACAGGTACTTAGTTGTGTTATTATGATGTATGTTTTCAATTTTCTTGGGTTTAGGTAGGTTGTGCACGTGCACTTGTGCTTATACACACGATCCGCCACTGTCGCGGAGGTAGATAACAGTGGTATATACGCGCTGTGATGCATCACAAAATCCCAATAATAAACAACAGCCACTGGACCGCGTGTTAAAATGCCGCGGAATCTTAATCGGATGGAGGCAGGTCAGTGAATCCACGAACATAGCCCACTCTTGCATAATATGACAACCAAAACAAAAAAAAAAAAAGGTTTGAAAACGTATTTACCAAACATCACATGTGAAAATGTTGGTTAGAAAATAATGGTTTGGCAATGATGAATACACATAGTGATATAATGATTAACCCTGATGATGTCCTAAATAAATTAGTGACCAAAACAAGAAAACTACAGTGGATGTAAATTTTAATGTAATTAAAATATTGTTTGACTTTAAATGCTTTAAATAAAGTACAAGAAAATTTAAAATAATATGTTTTACGTATACCTACCAATTGTATAGATCTAAATCATTATCATCTTGTTTTGTAACATAATGATCGGATGTATTTTCACCTGGCATCCTTTTTTTGCGTCAAACTCGTTCTTGAGGAAGATCTATTTCAGTAAGGCCTTTGCTTATAGCGAATTGTTTAAAAGCTTAATAAATTCAAGAGAAATTTCCCTGATTTTTAGATAGCCATGATTCATCATGACCTCTAAAAGATGAATTTTGACGAGTGAGATATAGTAACACTTCTAATATTATTTTTACAATCTCTCTATTTTCAGTAACTTTGGTAATAGAGTTTTATAAAGATTTTATATTTACTCTTTGATTATTCAAATACATTACTTTTCTAACCTTTGACTGCAAATGGTTTGGTGATGCTTCATGATTATCAAGTTTATAAAAAATATGTCTCCAGTCGTTTGAACCATTTCTAGCAAGTTGGTTAGATTTGCTATCTGTTGTGCCAAATTATTTGTACACTATACCATAAACTTTATCCTCAGTTGGAGAATAAGATAACCATTTACGTCTAACAAACTTTCCAGTTGCAATCTTTTTAAAATAATGTTGCTCATGGAACAACCTTGAATGTTTTCCTTGTTTTCTTAAAGGAAATATACCGTTTTTTAACTAGGTTGGTTGTGGTTGACATGGTTCTTGAAGTACAATTTGTGAAAAACGTTCAATTGAAATATTTGAACATAAAAGTAAAGCTGGATCATGAGGAAATCTTTCATATTGGTTTGACATTTTATCTAAATCTTCTACTAGGGTCAGTGTTTTATCTTCAAAGCAACCATTGCACGCTAAACATAAAATTAAACAATACAAATTAGATACGTACACCCATTAATTCCAAACTATACTAAAATATATACATTATATTATTAATTAATATTAATTTTTATAAAGTATTAAATATAATTTAATACTTCTATTTAAGTTTTTTTTTATTTACATATTTAAAACATTAAAGTTTACTTTATTTAAATTGTTATTTTAATAACAATAAATTATTTATTTTAAAATAGTAGGATAATGATTACAAAAATTATCTTGCTTTTAAATTTTTACACTAAATCATAACTAATTAATTGTTTCTATTTTGTAAAATCATATTTAAGCGAATTTAAGTTATAATAAATTAATATTTTCATATTTTACTATTTCACTGTTTATTAGAATATAAAAATATAACTATCCTAATAGTATAATTTAAAATACTTATGAGTCACCTTAAGGGACTTAGGGCCGTTCATACATTTCCGGTTAGATTAGTGTCATTTATGAGAGAATTCTATCGGTAAACACAAAAGAAATTCTGCTAGTTAGCGCTATCACATTTAACTGGAATTGGAAGAACAGCCCTTAATCAATAGTAAATACAACAAAAACAAATTATTCTATAATTTATACACATAGATTTGCATATGGAAAAGGCTGAGTGGCAGCTAACCTTCCTGCGAATCAAGTTTTTTCCTTAATAAAATCATCATATTATACAGAATAACAAATATTAATTTAAAAAAAATGATTTAACTATAATAGGTCTGCCCCTCCTCCCAAGAATGTCTACACATGACTATGTTCATATACTAAATTAGTTAATTAATTTTAAAATATAAATAATATAATTTACCAGATATATTATCATGATCACCATTAACATTGAAGTATTTAAATCTGGAATAATAATATCTAATGCTTTATCTTCATTGCCTATATCATCTACATGAATATCTTCACATACTGTTAAATTTTTCTCATCTGAAATCATAAATAATTTTTTAATACTGAAAATAAAAATTTTAAATCTGATTTAATTTTTGTTTTTGAAAAATTCAAAACACCCATTTGTAAATCTGGATTTTAGAAAACTAGATTGTAAGAACAGTTATTTAAGTCATAAAGTTAATTTTTTGAAATCTCATTACTTTGTTAAGTAAAGTTGATCCAATCCTAAAACATATTTTAATTAAAAAAAATGTATAAATACAAAATATTATAGGTAATTATTATTTAAATATTTTCATTCTTAAAAAATAAAAATAAAAATAATTATATTTAACAAGTAGAGCAAAGATTCAATACATAATATGTAATAAAAAATTAAAAAATATTTATTACAAGTTATTTTATTTATCAGTTCTTCCTGTTCCTGTATTAGTTAATCATTTTTAAATAAATAATTTAATTACAGGGGTGGTTCTTGTAGACTTACGGTGAATCACAATCTAATACTAAAAGAGATGTATAAGTATACAAATGACTGGCACCTAGTACAAATAATAACTTCTATGCTACGGAACCGATGCATTATAGCCACGCTAAACAATAAATAGAGTAGATGGAGAAATCAGTGAAATAGCTTAATAATACTTAATATCGAAATTGTAATTACAAACGGTACTGGTTTTGTTGTCGTTCTCGATGCTGGCCATCATTACTCTAACGGAATGTAAATTTATCTGGTTGCCAATTGACAACGGGAATCCGAGTATTTGGAAAAGCTTTCGAATTAGCTCACAACCGTTTCTGACACCGTCACGAACATTGTACTTCATCGATCAAATTGCACCAGAATTCAAGATGACCGAGGAAAGAAGAGCGATCGCGAGCGACGGACCTTCGGGTTCGACACCGCCGCCATCGTTGACCGTGTCCGATGTCGCCAGTATGGACATCGAACGTCTTAGGGCTGATGAAGTTATGTGGGCCATGTACGAGCAAGGGTGGAGGGACACGTATGCCTCCGTGATTGCTGCGCTGGCTGCAGAGCCCCCTCCGCCGCCTGTCGATCTGCGCCCCGTGACCATCGGATCCGACCGTGGACAGGCGAGCACTGATTCTGCGGCCACCGTTAACCGTCAACCGACCGTCGATTCACGCCCTACGGCTACCGGGCCCGTTCGTAGCCAGGCACGCGTCAATCTGAACGCGCGGCGCAGGAACGTTTCCGCTCGTCCGTCGAAGTCGGAAGAACAATCGATTGCCTCTACCACTCGAGTATGTTCGTTTTAGAATATTATTTTTTATTTTTTTTTTTTGCGTGTATGTGTGTGCGCATACTGTGATCTACATACCTGATACATATATATATATGGCGCGGAAGAATATTCGGTTTTTTTTCTTTTATAGGCACCATGTTTCCAGAATTTCACGACTGCGGATATTATCGAGTACAATTCAGCTTGGACTAACATTCCTGTTAGAACATGTTGTGATCATTGCGTACTCAAGTTTTGATAAACCACAGCTCCATAGGCGCAAATCGCAGGGGTGCTAGGGTGCTTATCACCCTGAATTTTAATGCTAGCACCCCGAATCCCGTGATTATAACTTATAGTACTATTACCATCATATTTCTATAATAATAACATTTATTAAAAATTCAAAAACAGTTTTATATTTATTTAATTATTTATAATATAATATGTCGAGTTTACGTCTGGATATATTAAACTGCAATGACATATAAAATATATTATATAATATCATAATAATTGTTGTGAAATTATGATATTAACGGAAAATAATAAATTGTTAAATATATAGGTATGTAAATAATAAAATTCGGAGTATCTACAATCTACGCAGATCGACCACAACGACACTATATAGTTTTATTTAATTAGATCCGCATTAGGTAATTCCATAAAATAGGATTAAAATAATTTTGTAGCCTAATTGCATTCCGTTCTGCCGACCGTCACTATAATACCGGGTTCACACTAATGCAATTTTTTGTATGCTTTTTTCCGCATGCTTATTTTTACTCGTGCAAGAACTAAATTGAACAAATGTGAACGCTGATAATACGCATACAAGTTCTTGCATGCTCAAAGTTGCATGCAGTCCAACATGTCGGTTGACCACATCTTCGCAACATCCAAACTGGTCTGTTATTGGCGTTCCATAAATCGAAGCCCGCAACTAATAATAGCTTATAGCTAAATAAAATATTTTCATAAGACAAAAACAATAAATGATATTATGTTAGTCAGTCAATATAATAATAATAATATTTTATTGTACTATTATTTTTGGTGGGCGACAGCTTGTATAATAGCGACAAACTGCAGGATTCTACGTCCATTACCCTGCCCCCCCCCCCCCATCCAGAAATGTGTGATTTTTTTAATGCTTATAATTAGTACATAATTTGTATGAATTTGTACGACCATTTTCAGAATTAATGGAATAACGTTATTCCAGTCCCTCCCGCGAAAAACGAATTTTTCTTGGTGAATGAGCTCCGTACAAATTCTGAAAATGGTCGTACAAATTACGTACTAAATATAAGCATTAAAAAAATCATACATTTCTGGATGGGGGGCAGGGTAATGGACGTCCGGATTCTGGCGTGCGTAAAAACTGTTTTTTTATTACAAAATATATTTTTGTTTACGAAAAAAAAATCTTTCATACAAATTACAGAATATACTGAAACTTACTAATGAGTATAGAGAAATTTATTAGGACTCGATTTTAGATTTATTTAAAACGTAAAGCCAATTATTTTATTCCATTTAAAAAGTTCGTTTTTTACAAAAAACTGTGTAACTTATTTTCAAAACAGTTTAATACAGTATACATGGAAAAATATGATTTCAAGATTTTGTTATATTTTTTTGACATAAGTTTAAATTGAAGATTCAATTTTTATGAAACAATTATGAAATTTTTTATAGAAAAAATTTTCTGTGGCTTGAGGCCGAATCTTTAGAGATTATATTATGCACATATAGTATATAATATGGTATATCTAAATCTAATACAACTAAAATATTTGCAATCAAAAACTTTTATGTTTGAGTCGATCGAAACAGCGTAGTGATAAAATAACAAGGACAAGATTGGCTAAACCGCAGAAGTACCCGTTTCAGCTTATTAATTTTGATTTTCTATACACTAGCTATTTATAAATAATGATTTACTATCTATTTATATTTACTTCATGAAGTATTTTGAATTGGAACTTGGAAGACCAAAATATAAATTATCATTTGAATGTTTTTATTATTCGGTTTGTGTGACTGTGTACCGCGCTTGTATCGTGTAGACCATTTTCGTTCGGTGTTTTTTTTAATGTGTAGTATTTATATCAGTTCCTTTTTTTTTATTAAAAAATGGTGTATAAAACGCGTCTAATAACATATTCGAATCGTAAAAAAATAAGCCACTCTCTTGTGTTAAATCGGTACAACAAACCCAAAAAGTAAGTGTTTTACACATTATTTTTATTCATCAGGTTTATTCAGATGATTTTAACATCAACCATATACTTTAAGTATATCCTTGTTTTTATCAATGTAATATAATCAATTTAAAATATTTTTAGAATCCGAAAATTGTTAAATTATTTAAATTATTTGGGCATTAGTAATTAAAATAGTCGAATTATAGATAACGCTTCCTAATGAACTTTTGACAGTAGCAAAAATATTTTTAATTTGTATAGTTTACACTTTTACAATTTTTTAACTACTAACGGTGGTAACGTCTTTCTTTTGTTCTTCAGTATATAATTATATAAGGAGTTTGTGAATATCGTAAGTGAAATATTCTTATAAATTGATGTAAAAACGTGTTATGTTCTGTGAGCATTAAATCATCAGATAATAGGAATTTTTTTTTCATTCGGAATGTCTTATTTATAATTCAAAAAGTAAAAATGTGTTAAACATGGTTTAAAATATATTATAATAATGATTTTATAATCTACATGTTGTTGAAGACAGGTTAGCAGTTACTATACGTTTTAGTTAGATATACACGGGCTGCGAATATTAAAAATATTGCGGCAGAGTATGATGTACTATGCACGTATGCGCGTATATGTATTTTATGGTTCACAGTACTTGATGAAGGTTCATAAAATAACAATTTGCGCTCCCGAACTAGCGCTTGTTAGACCGGTGCACGGTCGCCGGCTACGAATGATGGGCGTGTCGAAATATGCGCAGCGTGCTTGTGCTTCTTGAAAACACCTAATAGCGCGTTCTATCGGTCGTTGTATACGTTTTACTTTTGGTGTGGCGTCCTCTTAAGTATTTAGCGGTCAAATATATTTTTAAATATAATACGGTGGTTATGCAGTATGCGCCGTTCCACCGACATCACATACCGGTTGTATACATCTTTATTGCAAAATCGCAGATCGCCATAGTACGACGAGAAACTTGAAAACGATGCACGTTTTCTCAACATGGAAACAATATTTTCCTAAAGGTTATTCGCACATCATCATTAATATTGCGTTTCTCTGACATCGGGGCAGAAATTATGTTCTACTATTCATCCGTATTGTTTATGGTGAACACGTGCAAACCCGATTTTTTTTTACAATTATTTAACTCGCTCGAATTCCAGAATTAAAATTTTTCTACAAAATATTAACGAACCAGCAATCGCACTTAAAAACAGTAAACTATAACACACATATAATTTATGGATAGGTATCTCCAAGTCCGTAACTGGGGGGGGGGGGTCCAGGAATCCGGACTCCCTCGAAATTTTCAAAAGTAGAAACATTTTAGCGGTGAATATAGTTTATTAAGTATAAATTTTATTAAAAAATAATTTTCGCCCCCCCCCCCCCGAATTTTTTTCCAGTTACGGCCTTGGGTATCTCTATAAATATTATGAATCGCAAACACTGAATTTACTGAGTAATTGTGTTACATCCATAAGACTATGAATTATTTTGACCTTCATTGTAAGTACGGTTATACTACGCATATAGTTTATTTCAGCATTACATTTGAAACACTTTCACTCGTCTTCATACACAGTCAACAATTTAACGAGAAATCATCCAATCTGTTTAACTATAAAATACTTTGAATTTAGAGGCAACCAAATTATACAAAGTATATATGTTAATTTAAAAAACTATTGTCATCATTATAAATCAAGTAAATAACCAAACATAATGGATATTGCTAATTTAATTTAAACATAATAATCATTGTCTAATATTATATAACAAGCAATGATCATTTATTTAAGTTTGTACAAAATACATTTGATGTATAATGATTGAAACTAAGAAACTATAGACGCGAGGATAATGATACAGTAAGTATATAATTGAGGAATAGATTAAATATTTACATGCGTGCTTCCAAATATATTTAACTTACGGTCAAGGTTAAACCATTGTAATAAAATTAAATTAAGTGAACGATAAATTTATTGTTGGGGAAAATGTTTTCCGAAATAAAAGGTGTACAAAATTATTGATTTCTAGACAAAGTTTACAAGGACTTCATCAAAAAAATATTCAACATCTTTTTTTTGCTCATCGTTTTCAAAACACAATTGTCTACCGACAAATCAGGTTTCAACTGCATTTTTAAACAGTTTACGTTTTCTTTGTATTCAAATAGATGTCCGGACAATGTATAACTTTAATACCTAATAATTTAAACGTAAATCCAAAAAAATTGTAATCAAATGTGTTTTTTTATGTTTTGTCGCTTCGTTTTTGATCTATGAAAAAATATCTGTTAAAAATTTCGGGTATTTACAACTAAATTAACAATATTATAATAACAGTAAATCTTTCGGTACCCTAAGCCATTTTAAACATTTTTGTACGATATCTGCCGAGAACATGAATTATTTTCGAATACTTTAAAAAGAAACAAAGTTCTCTCAGATCTGCTCAGATGAGTGCTTGGTGAAGTAAATATAATGATCAGTAACGTGACTAACCATGGTTTACCTAACTCGACGAATACGAATACCTGAATATATTGACGAGTGACTGAAGGATAACTGACTATTAAAAACAATACAAAGTACTACACACTATAATATGTATTTATATTTGTATATATAATGTCATTGTCATCCTTGTCATGATTGCAATAAATTCTGCACGCACATTGTAACATTGAAAAATATACCGAAGGTTTTTTTTTTATAGCGTGGGTACTTCGAAATGAGTTAGCTTTGATAAGTTTGATAAGTTATTTGGTTAAATAAGTTAGATGGATATGAAATCGTTTTCTAACTTCTAACAAAGTCTCTTATAATTTAAAAGATCTATATCACAATGCATAATTGCTGTTGTAGAGGTGCATAGGCGTGAAAGAAAATTATAAATATAACTAAAAAAAAGGATCCAAATACAAGATACTAGATACTTCGATATTTTTAAAGATACTAGGTACAAGATACAGGTATTCATATAAGATACAAGATACTTTATACATTTATTAATATTTATTTATTTATTTGTTTATTCATTTTTATTAGGTACAA